TAAATATGATAATTGCAAGTAGCCATAATTTTACAGTAACATGTTGATCACGAATTGTGCTGCTTAAGCTTTTGATATTGGATTACTGAAAACATATTATGAAGTATAACGTTATAGAAGACGCCTCCACTGTATAGTTTTTATTGCTGGTCAAATAAAGGCGTCATACTTTCAGTCAACAGACTTGTTTTGACCATCAAAATTCATTATAGAACACATCGTAGTCATGTAATCACTTAGTTAAGAAAGTCAGTACTGCACTCAATTAGATTTAATACATTATTGTAATGTAATGGTAATAAATGTCATCGAGACATATTTAGTTGTATTTTTAAGAAGCTTCAGCACCGCTCTTGAAACTTAACTAGGTAGGCATCCAGCAGTGAAAACATTGCAAATGCATTTGCATTGGATAATTTGTGTTTATCATTATCGGTTGTATAAAAATCATAATAGTATTTTTAATTTAATGTTCTCCTTTATACTATAAAAGAATTTGTTCAGATATTCCTTATTCAAGAGATAATAGATACATGATATTCTCTGTTACATCGCTTTAGGGAATTGATCCCGTATTAAATACATTTCGATAGCAAAATAAATTATAAGATTCTTAATAAAGATATGTAAATTATGTTAAATATAGGGTAGCTATCGTGTACTATAGATTAAAGATACAACATTCGTTTACTAATTAATTAATTCATTACAGCCCATCAGAAGACCACTGCTGAACATTAAACATAGATCTCACCCATAGATTGCCTCAGTTTGGCATCCGCACTTTTTTAATTGACAGACATACATATAATCACGCCTCATCGCCAGCAGATACCTCTTCTTTCCACTTGCTACGATCCTTACATACTTGTTTCGCTTCGTCCACTTTTATTATTCCCTTCATACATGCTCTACGGTTTAGGGTAGTCTTGACCTGGCCTTTTTTCAAGACGTCCCTGATTTGGTCTAGAAATGTCCGCCTAGGTCTATCCCTTCCAACACTTTCATTCACACTCGCGTTATACACATTTTTTTGTCAATCGTTCTTCATTCATTCTCTCGACATGGCTAAACCATCTCAGCATACCTTTCTCAATTTTTGTCACTACATCTTCTTTCAGAACACAACGTTTCCTTATCTCACTATTTCTTATCCTGTCACTCAGTTTAACTCCTATCATACTTCTTAATGGTCTCATCTCAACTGCATTTATTCTGCTTTCATGTTTCTTCTGCCATACCCAACTTTCACTTCCATACATGAGTGTCTGAACCAACACCCCCTCATGCTCAGCCAAACGAGTCTTGTTAGACACCTTCCGACTGCTCATAAAGGAGTGCAAAGCTCCATACACCATGTTTCCTGCATTCACACTTCTTTCGATATCACTCTCACACATTCCATCTCTTGTAAACTTTGAACCCAGATACACAAATTCTTTCACCTGTTCAATTTGTTCATCTTCAATCACGATATTGCAGTCTATCACTGCCTCATCTTTTTCAAACACCATCACTTTCATCTTCCTTACATTCATCTTCATTCCCTTTCTAACAAAAGATCCACTCATAGTAGTTACCATCTCCTGCAACTCCTCGGCCGAAGACGCAAGTAATACTTGGTCATCAGCATAGAGAAAACATTTGACGAGTAACTCATTCTCATTCTCAACCCACTTTCATTCTCTTTTAAATCTGTCAAATAATTGTCCATGAACAGATTAAACAGCCACGGTGACGCTACTCATCCCTGTCTAACACCTTTTATTATCGATACGATTTTAGTCGATATTAAACCATTCAGTGTATGCCCCGTTTATCCTTACACAAGCACTAGAACCCCTATAAAGAGATTGCAATGCTCGTATAAGGATACTGCTCACACCGTTCACAGACAATGCTGACCACAATTCATTCCTCACCACTCTATCATAGGCCTTTTCTAGATCTACGAACGCGCAGTAGACTTTCTTTGTTTTTAGCCAAACAACACTTTCGCATATAATTTACCGACGACGCTGAGAAGGCTTATACCGCGGTAATTTATGCAGTCCTGCCGTGACCCTTTTCCCTTATACAATGGCACGATTACGGCTTTGCACTAGTCTCCCGGTACTTGCCCATTTCGCCAGCACAGATTGAAAAGGCGGAACAGCTGACTAGCCACCAGGCCCTGTCCAGCCCTCAGCATCTCGACGGTAATTCTGTCATACCCTGCAGCCTTACCTAATCTTATACTTTTCAACGCTTTCACTATTTCGTCCATGCTTATCTCATTTTCATCAACATTTATATTAGTTTCCGTGGAAGGTGGCAGATGCTGTACCTGGACTTCCTCTCTTTCAAACAAACTTTCAAAATACTCTTTCCATCTCTTTAACACACATTCTTCTACTTTTATAATGCTCCCATCTTGACTCCTGATTGTACTTAGCTCCGAGGTAGAAGTTTTTCCTCTGGCTGTTTTGATGGTTTTCCAGAAAAACTTAATGTTTGACTGGAAATCTTCAGTGAGCCTCCTATCGAAATCATCCTTTTGTTCTTCTTTCTTTCTAGACACAATTTCTTTCGCTGCTGTTTTCAATCTTTTATACTTCGTTCTTGCTTCCTTTATCTCGTCATCCGTTGCCTTTTGAACTTTTTGGTTAGCTTTTGTTGCTAACCAATCCAATCACGCTTTCTTCTTTTCTTGCACAACCCCTTGTACATCTTTATCCATCCACACGTTATCATTCTTTCTTCCTTTCTTTCTTTTAGCTACCCCGCATACCTCAGTAGCAACATTTACGACCCCTTTCTTAAATGTCTCCCACAAATCTTCAATCACTCCTTCCTATCTCTTCTATCCCTTTAAAACTTTCTTTCAGTTTCTCTACATACTCGTCTTTCTTTTCTTTTTCTTATGGATTTTCCACTTTTACTCTGTCCAAAACACTCGCAGGCTCGGTCCCTCGGTGTCGCCACCGTTTAAAGAGGCCACGCATTCGGGCTATGACCAGGAAGTGGTCTGTGTCGAGGCCTACACCGCGGAATTCCCGAGTGTCTAGCACTTTCATCTCAGTCTTTCATCCACCATTACAAAATCAATCATACTTCTAGACTCACCCTCATCTCTTATATACAAATGGATCTTTTTGTGTTCAAACATTATGTTGGCCACGCACAGATTCCATTCCAAGCATACTTCAAGCAGGCTTCCCCCATTGTCATTCACTCTCTCGTCCCCAAACGTACCCAGAACTCCTTCATACCCACCACGCTTTACTCCAACCTATCCATTAAAGTCCCCTAACATCTCGATCCGTTCATTTTCTCCGCATTTATTCAAGACCTCTCTCATGCTATCCGAAAATTCCTCTCTCTCTTGTTCTGATTTTAATGACCCACCTCCACGCAGATCCGTCGGTGCATAGACCCCAAGGATAAACAAGCGAGTGAGTCCGACTTTTAACTTAATCCAGAGGAGTCTTGGGCTTACACATTCATGCTCCATCACACATTCAACCATTCGAGATGAAAAAAATCACACCAACTCCCTGACAGCCTCGACTGGTTTGGGGGACTCCCGACCAGTATGCCGTGTAGGGGCCATGATCCGTGGTGTCACATCCTTTCCTCTTGGTTTCGTTCACGCACAGAATATCAATGCAACGTTCATCCATCATCTGACATACTTCATTTACCTTATCATTCATTCCTCCTCTTACATTCAACGTAGCGAAGCGTTTTTTAATTTGATATTATTAATATGATTTCTTGTCCGAAAACTACAGCTGTCCATCTTCTGAATCAGTTTTTATCTGTAGCCTCGTACGATATTCAAGGGATTTCGGAAATAGATATACTAACGTCACCACAACACACTACAATAAGAAATTTTAAAAAATTAGATCCGTTGTGTGGAGGGCTCATTATCTTCCGCTCACGAGATGTCGCTAGTTGGGACCAAAATAAAGTTTTTTGTTACACAATGTCAATATAATTGGGAATTTGCATTTTAAATAAAAGATTCTAGGGTGTAAACACACAAAACAAAGTTTTAGTGGTTTAATATAATGAATGTTAAACGCAACTAGTATTTCGAAAAAAAAAAAAAACATTAATATCCACACTTTTCTAACAAATAAACGCTATGAAATCTATCAAATATTTCACCTCACGTGGCGCCGTTCTGGTTGCAGAAAAAGTCATGGATGCCCATTCCCTTATTGCACGATAATTCAATTAACGGGTACTTTTGTGTTAAAAGACATTGATTAACTGTATTTAAAATTAAATTATGGAAAACAGCGTATATTTTTTCTCTCTTACTTGTTTTCCGTTATACATGTTAATTTTGTAAGCCACGAATTCTTTATCTAACCAGCAGTTCATACTACTTTTTCACGTACATAAAATTTTAAATATTTGAGCCTTGTTTTAAACCTCATAAAAGTTTTGTTTTATGAACATAATTTTACCTAAACTAACCTAACCTAACCTTTTTTTTTACATGTGGAAATGCCTACGCATACCCGCCTCGTTATGTCCGACTCGCACCGACTAAAACTCCATGGTGTTCCACCTTCGTCTCATATTGGCAGGGCCACGGGAACGCTTTCGCACACACCCGCGGCTTCACCTCCGCTGGCCGCCCCATGGCGGCCTCTCCTCGGGAGAGGACTACTCCTCCCCCATCTCCTTCTCAGGTAAGGCGCACCAGATTACATGTTGCGCCCTCCTCCTCGGCCTCCAATTTCACATGCGCAAGGGACGCCCCCGTGTCCGATGCGCGAAGGCAATGGGGCCAGGAAAAATTAGCAATCTGAAGCACTAGCCTTCCTGACCCCAGCGGCGGATCTGGGCCAGCCAAGGGGTTCCTCTTTGTTCACCGCGGGTGAACAAGCCACGACTACTAAGCCCCCCCGCCACGACAAGGCGGGCACCCGTTTGGGGGTGAACTATTTTTATTTACATGGGGAAATGCCTACGCATACCCGCCTCACTGGGGCAAGGACGCGTTATGTCGGACTCGCACCGACTAACACCCCACGGTGTTGCACCTTCCTCGGAATCAAGATCTCCCTTTGCCGTTCCGCAGTTTCCTTCTGCGATACCACGTCCTCGCAGAAGGACACCACCGCATCCCACGACTCTGCGCTACCGACCATCTTCCACAATAAGGCCGGCAGCGACAGATTGCCTCCTACTTTATTTGTGAGGACACGGCGCTGCTCCTCCCAAGCTACACACTCGGCGGGCGTGTGTTGCACCGTGTCCTCCCCGCAATGGACGCAGTGGTGGCACCGAGCGTCCGGCTCCCTGTCTATGCGGCACAGGTAAATGCCGAAGCAGCCGTGCCCCGACAGCACTTGCGTCACCTTAAATGATTCTCCCGAGCCAGTCGTCGAGTACCGGCCGGATCGGCTCGACGGTAGCGAGGCCGGCGGTAGGGCGCAGAAGCCTTTGCCGCCATTCAGCCACCAAGACCTATCGGAGCTCCTCTCGGCGCAGCGCGATCTGCCGCTGAACCGGCCTTGAGCCCCGTGCCCGCACTTCCTCGCGCTATCGATATAATGACGCGAGTACTTTCGCCTCTAGGTGCCAGGGCGGGGATCCGGCCAGGACGCAAGCCGCCTCGTAGGAGATCGTGGGATACCCGCGGACGACTCTGACAGCCTTCACCCACACAGGGGCCCCATACAGGGCCATGGACCGCACGATTCCCACGTGCAACCGTCTACAGGCGGCGCTCGGGCCTCCCAAGTTGGGAATCAACGTTGAGAGCGCGCCCGCTGCACCCAACAGCTTGGGCGCTAGCCACCGGAAGTGGGGTCCGAATTCCCGTCGCCTGTCGAGCATCAATCCCAGATACTTCATGGTGGACTCGACAGCTATCCGGGCCCCGCTGACCACGATGTGTGATCCCGGAGGCGGCGCACGTCGAGGTCCATGGAACACCATGGCCTCCGATTTGTTTAGGGCCACCTCCTGGCCCAGGCGCCGGATGCGGTTCACCACTTGTGACACCGCAGCCGTGGAGTCCAACGCTGCTTCCCTGTGCGAACTCCCCGGGCAGTGACAAGCGTGTCGTCCGCATAACACGTCAAGTCGGCGCCCGAAGGGAGTTCAGTTCTCAGCACCCAGTCGTAGCCGATGTCCCGCAGGAGCGATCCCAAGACCAATCCCTGCGGAACACCGTACGACATGACGCGCCGACCAGCGCCGTCACGTCCCCAATACGTAACGCATCTCTCATCAAGTTAAGCCCCTATTGTGCGGCGGAGGTAGGGAGGTACGCGATGGTAATTCAGCGCCTCCCGAATTCAACTCCAGGGTAGGGTGTTGAAGGCGTTGGAGATGTCTAAAGACACCGCCAGTACCATCCCACCCCGGGATACTGTCTCCTCCACCAGGGCACTCACGCGCGTAATAGCGTCTATGGTAGAGCACCCGCAACGAAAACCAAATTGATTCTCGTCCAGGTCCGCCCCCTCTCTGCACAAGTGGCTGACGAGGCGATCTGCGATGATACGCTCAAAAAATTTGCCAGCCTCGTCGAGCAGCACTATAGGCCGGTAAGCGGACGGTGAGTTCGCGGGGCGCCCCTCCTTTCTGAGCAGGACCAGCCTCCCTCGAGACATGCCGTGAAGATCCCCTCAGCTGGGGCTCTAGCTCCTTCAGAGCCAAGACGAGAGCTCGACCAGGAACTTCGTCGGGTCCGGGCGCTGTGTTCTTAGCCCGGAGTCGCGACACGGCCGCTCTCGTCTCTGCTTGCCTTACCTCGGGGACATCGGTGTTTTCCTCTTCTGGAGAGTCTGTGGCTGAGGGCGAAGCCATCGCCGGGAGAACTCCCACTCGTTCAGGGAAGAGAGCCGATACCACCGCCTCTAGCAACTGGGGTTGCATGCTTTGTGTTAGTGGAGGCGCCCAGGGACGCAACTTGTCCCGTACCCAACGGTAGGGGCGCCCCCACGGATCCCGATCTAGGGACCCCAGCAGCTCCTACCTGGCACGCGACATTCAGTCGCCGATGGCCAGCCACAGAGTCTCTTTAGACGCGCGGTACACCTCATACTGCGCGTCCTCCTCCTCATACTCGGCGAAATCCCGTCGACGCCGCCTCTGGTATCCGGTGTACCGGTGATGAGCCGCAACGCACGCTATGCGCAATTGCAAGATTTTGGCGGTCCACCATTACACCTGGTACTTTGCGGATCGTTGGCGGACACGGGCCATGGACGCATCGCAGATCTGCGTCATTGCCCCGCGAAACCATAGCGCCATCGTTTCGACGTCGACTCCCAGATCCAGGATTGGACTAAGGCAGCTTCCTCGAGTAGTTCCCTGTCGATGCGCGTAAGCGCCCAACGCGGGCCGTCGTTAATCGGGTTTGTTGGATGGCGGCCGCTCGCAGTCTGGGCAGAGACGTCGAACCGGATATACCGATGGTCCGACAGCGTCTCCACCTCTGCGGCGACACGCCAGTCGCGGACTCGGCTGGCGACAGAGGGGCTAGTGAGCGAGACGTCCACTGTCGACCCGCCCCGCTGCCGCACGCACGTGTATTTCGAACCCCGATTCAGGACGACCAGACCAGTCGTCACCGTCTACTCTTCTAGCTCCTTGCCCCGAGGGTCAGTGACCGGAGATCCCCACGCCGATGACTTGGCGTTGAGATCCCCGAGCACCAGAACAGGATGAGGGTGATAGCGGCCTACGACGGCGCCCAAATCGACAAGGAAACCCTCAAAGTCGGCGAGACTCTTGTTGGGGGAGAAATACGCCCCTACAATAATGATGCCGTCCGAGACCGCAGCAACCCAGCCGTGGCCCCGAGACGGGTCGATCAGAGTCTCGCCAATAATGGCCACCAAACCGTCAGCGCATCCCAACCAGTTGTCACGGGCGGGAATTAAGTTCGGCGACCACAGCCACGTGAATCGACCACTCTGCCATGCTCTGGAGTAGGAGATCCTGAGCTCTGGCACAGTGGTTGATGTTGCCCTGAAGAAAATGGAATTGTGCCGTTACTGACATTCCATTCTCTCGGCAACGATCCTGGGCCGGGAGTCGGCAGCGGATCTGCTAGCCTGCGGGGGCAGCGAGATTAACCCGGCAGGCTTAGTGCTCCACTTCTTTTCCTTTTTCTTTTCGGCCTTGCTGGCAAGCGCCCCACAGGCCCCTCCGCCTACTCTGTGCTCTGCTGGCCTTCCCGCAGCAGAACAAAGGCTGCAGTTGAGCGCCGCGGTGCACAAGGCCGCCTTGTGACCAGGCTGGCCGCAGCTATAACAGAGGTCACTACGGTCAACCTCGGTGGTGCATTTCACCCGGACGTGCCCTTTTTCCAGGCACCGGAGGCACCGCAAAGCCTGGGGCTATAGTAGCTTGGTCCTTGCTGCCCACCCAGCCTACCAGCAATCTGCCGCTATCGGCGATCTTCTTCGCCGACGCTACAGGGCACCGAACCCAGACCGCGCCGAGTCCAGTGGCGTCGGTGCGTATATCGCCGGCCCGCACCCTTTCCGGCGGACACTCTTCGCTTCTGGCAACAGCCGCCACCACCTCCTCAGAGGTCACGGAGTCGTCCAGGCCAGCAATCCGCACCTTTGCGGATTTCATTGGTCTGGAGACCCAGACGTCCTCAGGGTTGAGGACCTCCGTCATCTTGGCGGCCAGTGCTTCCGCCTTTTCAGCACTGCCACTCACAGTAACAGCCACCTCGAACAGCCGTGCACCCGTGGCAGCCTGCCTGAGGGTGACGGACTGAAGGCCAAGAGCAGATAATTTGATCTTGACCTTGGCCTCGGCGATGACTGGCTGGTACGTCACGCCACGCTCCACAACTTCGGGCTGCAACCTTAGCGTCACAGCGTTGGACCGCGGAACATGCACAGCCGGTCTCTTGCGATCGCCTTTGGCAGTCCGCCACGCAGGCTTAGGAGACGTCTTTGCGGTTCCACCTGGGGCGCATGCAGCTGGTGCGGCCTTCTTGGCGGCTTTGCTGGCCTTCTTGCGGCTTTCGCCCAGGTCTCACCCTTAGACGCGGCAGTTGTGGGCTGGTCGCTCGGAGTAGCTTCCTCCGCGGGCTGCCCCTTTTGAGGCACAAGTCTCGGCGTCTCCTCAGTCCACCGCATGTGTCAACCACTAAAGGCGGACGGAGGATTTCCGTCGGGAGACGCCGAAAAATTGCCTCCAGCCGAGCGTAAACCATGCTCCTGCACTGGAGCATGCGGAGCCGGACAATGCGCTCGACCTCTTCGTCGTTACGAGGGCTTGCCGGTCGCGGTGTGGGAGTCGGGGCCACTACAGATGCGGCATTGGTGGATGTGCGTTGCTGCTGCTGCTCGTTTAGTGCAGCGACTTGCTGCTGGAGGTCCTCCAGGTCATTTCTGAGCCAGCTATTTTCCTTCTGTAACAGCCGTCCTGTTGAGGAGGACGCCAACCGCCTCCCTGATATCCGCGGCAGCCTCCTTTAAGCCACGGGTGAACGTGCCCTTCAGGCTGCCGGACTTGGTGGCAACCTTCAGGACTAAGTCCACCCCATTCAGAGCCAGCTGGCTTAAGACCACCGCAGATGGCTCTCCCCCTTCCGCCACAAGAGCAGCTCCGATTTGCACCGCTTCCAGTGTCCGATCCAACCTGCTTTTCGACCTCAACTGTTTTTAAATATTTATCTCTTTCCATTTTTATCCCCCGAGTATGGAGGAAATAACAGTCCGTCCGAGTAGCGCCTCCTTTGCCCGGATAAGCCTATGCGTAACCCGTCAAGGGTGTCGGCCGGTACCCCGACGGGGGCAACGCTAACGACTGAACATTTACCCATCAGCCATGCAGCTCCTCATGGCTTGCCACGCTTGAGCTTCCGGTGATTTTTAAAGAGGTTATCATCCTCGCTACTCCAGGCAGTTAAGCCAAGAGCCCTCGGACCCTTAGGCGCCGCGAGACGTGATCCACGACACGCCAGAGGGATTCCGAGGTTCGAACGATGGCAGAGTTGATACGGGTTCTTCTCATGCCTGCCCAGAGACCGGGTGAGGGATCACTGAGCCCATTCAGTTTCCTTTTTTACAGGGTATGGTCCCTGAAAATCCCGCGATTACTGGTTGCCCGGCGTGGGCAAAAGCCGAGTGCACCTGGCACATCAACGCGCATGTCACATTCTCTGTTCCTCTCAAGGAAGAGGATACGGGAAGCAACTGGTAGGCCCTCCATTATCCAAACAAGCCCTCACCCAGCCAGCTTTGGTCAGCGCCGGTTTCCCGCTACACCCATATCTTAGTGGCATTCATCTATCCGCCACCTGGGGACGCGCCCGATGAGAGCTCTTGCAACTCCACACGGGAAACTAACCTAAGCTAACCTTTTTTTTTTACGGGGGGAAATCCTCATGGACTGCCTCAGCCTGAGGAAAGGCGAAGAAGCGTGCCCGACTCTTACCGGCTAAAACCACCCCGGTGTCTCCGCGCACGTGCGCGCGCGGGGCCGCGAGAATCCAAACTCTTCCGCAGCTGCACACAAGTGCAGGCCTGGTCTGTCCAGGTCTCGTCTCCTGCACGGGGTAGTGAGGTGTTCAAATATCCCGTGCATCGCCTCAGAGGCGCGCGCTGACACTCGCGCGCGCATCCACCTCGGGTTTATCGAATAGGGGTGGCGGGGGCTTCTTCAAATCCCTCGCCCCTGGACCCATTCAGGAGGGCCGGATAAGGGCGTTGTCCGCCCATCTCCTGCGCCCTGTGCGCCTTCTGCGGACGGGGAAGGGAGTCGGGATCTCCCTTTTCCGTTCCGCAGTTTCCTCCTTCCTTCCTTCTGCGAGAACTTCGTGTCGCAGAAGGACACCACCGCATCCCACGACACTGCGCTACCGACCATCTTCCGCAATAAGGCCGACAGCGACAGATCGCCTCCTACTTTATTTGTGAGGACACGGCGCTGCTCTTCCCAAGCTACACACTCGGCTGGCGTGTGTTGCGCCGTGTCCTCCCCGCAATGAACGCAGTGGTGGCACCGAGCGTCCGGCTCCCTGTTTATGCGGCACAGGTACTTGCCGAAGCAGCCGTGCCCCGACTGCACTTGCGTCACCCTAAACGACAGGGAGCCGTGCCTTCTCCCGAGAAGGTCGTCGAGTACTGGCCGGATCGCCTCGATGGTAGCGAGGCCGGTGGTATGACGCAGAAGCCTTTGCCGCCATTCAGCCACCAAGACTTGACGGAGCTCCTCTCGGCGCAGCGCGATTTGCCGCTGCACCGGCCTCAAGCCCCGTGCCCGCTCTTCCTCGCGCCATCGATATAATGACATCGAGTAACCTAACCTAACTTTTTTTACATGGGGAAATGCCTACGCATACCCGCCTCGCGGGGGCAAGGGTTATGTCGGACTCGCATTGACTAAAACCCCATGGTGTTACACCTTCGCCGCATATTGGCAGGGTAACGGGAACGTTTTCGCACACATCCGCGGCCCCAACAGCGCCGGCCGCCCCATGGCAGCCCCTTCTCGGGGGAGGACCTCTCCTCCCCCATCTCTTTCTCGGGTAAGGCGCACCAGAAAATATGGAGCGCCCTCCTCTTCGGCCTCCAAGTTCACATGCGCAACGGACGCCCCCGTGTCCGATGGGCGAAGGCCATGGGGCCAGGAAAAACTAGCACTCAGAAGCACCAGCCTTCCTGACCCCAGGGCCGGATCTGGTCTATGGCTCCGCCGCCAGCCATGATTCGGCTTCGGAGGGTAGGGAGAGCGGCGCCTCGCAATACCGACACTCTTCTCCCCCCGCAGCCACACCACTAACGGTGCGGCCCCGTTTGAGTCAAGGAGAATATCAACACTCCTCTTCCTCCGCGACTCCACCTCGGCTGCAGTGATAGAGGGAGCGGGCACCCCTCTCACCGCAGCCCTTCGACATACATTCGAAGTGGGCTCGTCAAGCCCACTCGGAGTGGCCACCCTACACCACGGGCCAGCCAAGGGTTTCCTCTTTGTTCACCGCTGGTGACCAAGCCACGTCAAGGCGGGAACTCGTTCGGGGGGGAACCTTTTTTTTTACATGGGGAAATGCCTACGCATACCCGCCTCGCGGGGGCAAGGACGGGTTATGTCGGACTCGCACCGACTAAAACCCCATGGTGTTCCACCCTCGTCGCATATTGGCAGGGCCACGGGAACGCTTTCGCACACTTCCGCGGCCCCACCTGCGCTGGCCACTCCATGGCGGCCCCTCCTCGGGAGAGGACTACTTCTCCCCCATCTCCTTCTCAGGTAAGGCGCACCAGAACACATGGCGCACTCTCCTCCTCGGCCTCCAATTTCCAATGCGCAACAGACGCCCCCAAGTCCGATGCGCGAAGGCCATGGGGCCAGGAAAAACTAGCACTCAGAAGCACCACCCTTCCTGGCCCCAGCGGTGGATCTGGTCTATGGCTCCGCCGCCAACCAAGATTCGGCTGCGGAGGGTAGGGAGAGCGGCGCCTCGTAATACCGACACTCCTCTCCCCCCGCAGGCCCACCACCAACGCACCATTAACGGTACGGCCCCGTCAGAGTCGCGGAGGATAGGGCGAGTGGCGCATCGCCATACCAACACTCCTCTTCCTCCGCGACTCCACCTCAGCTGCAGCGGTAGAGGGTGCGGACTCCCCTCTTACTGCAGCCCCCCGACACACATCCGAAGTGGGCTCGCCAAGCCCACTCGGAGTGGCCACCTCGGGCCGGCCCTACACCACGGGCCAGCCAAGGGGTTCCTCTTTGTTCACCGTGGGTGACCAAGCCACGGCTACTAAGCCCCTCCGCCACGACAAGGCGGGGAACCGTTCGGGGGGGTCGGGGGGAACCTAACCTAACCAGCAGTACATGCTACTTTTTCACTTAAATAAAATTTTAAATATTTGAGCCTTTTAAATAAAACTAATTTTACGGATTTTATCGCGTATATTAACTTATTTTACTTTCCCGACGTTTCAAGCACTTTACAGCACCCATGGTCACGGGGGGGACTGAGGTGTATGACGTCCCAATGTCATAGTTAACCACGGCTACCTCCAGATTAAAAATTATTAATTTTTGTTCCGATCTACGCAGTATGAACTTACAGTATCATGAAGTCTTGCAGTTGTATGCTTGGGTTGGGATTTAATTTTATTAATTATGGGATCCCAAGCAGATGGTAGCACCCAGCCATCTTCTCTATTGAAATTAGGATGTTTTTTGATTTCAATAGCCTCGCGAATCATCCTTGGAAGGAATCGGTGTTCTTTAGCGAGGATTTGTGGTCTATCAAATCTAATGTAGTGACGGGGGCGATCCTGTACATGTTCACAGACTGCAGACTTCCATTATACATTCCAAAAAACATCCTAATTTCAATAGAGAAGATGGCTGGGTGCTACCATCTGCTTGGGATCCCATAATTAATAAAATTAAATCCCAACCCAAGCATACAACTGCAAGACTTCATGATACTGTAAGTTCATACTGCGTAGATCGGAACAAAAATTAATAATTTTTAATCTGGAGGTAGCCGTGGTTAACTATGACATTGGGACGTCATACACCTCAGTCCCCCCCGTGACCATGGGTGCTGTAAAGTGCTTGAAACGTCGGGAAAGTAAAATAAGTTAATATACGCGATAAAATCCGTAAAATTAGTTTTATTTAAATGTGTAGTGTTCGCGTAAATATAAGAAATCATTATTTGAGCCTTGTTTTAAAATTCATAAAAGTTTTGTTTTATGAACATAATTTTATATTATTTATGCATCGCTTTTTTCACATTTATTACAAACTTCGAAGCGAAAATGGTGCAAAGCACTTTTATTGCACCCCATTTATAAACGTGGATATTTTAATAAAAATTTAATGTAAATATCATATCAAGATAATGGAAAATATACGAGTATATAAATAGACGTCAAATGGTCCGTATTATTACGTCAGGAGCCAGGATGTATTACAGAAATGCTGTCATAAATAGGACTCAATAAATTGATCCTTTTCTTATTATCTTAAGAATTTAGGGCTGATTTTTCAATCGTCGGTTATAAGTTATTCATGAAATAAATTAGAACCTGGCTAAATTTAAAGTAAACAATTGAACTATTTTATTATAATAATAATGTAATTTTTAATTTGTTTATGTTACATTCTATCTATCCTACGAATACATTTTATCTTAACTTGGAAGGTTTGTTTTTAGAAAGCCCAGTTTCTGAGTTTGCTCAAGTTCAAGCGAAAGTATCAAGTTCGAAAATTGTGGCAGTATACTATTATTATATACGTGCTGCTGGGCACACAGGCCTCCTCTCATTTCTAAGAGAAATTTGGAGCAATTAGTCTGCATCCCTACTCCAGTGCGTGCTGACGCACTTTCCATGTCTTCAAAATATTATATTCTACAGATATGCTGATTTACGACAATTTCCTTCACCGTACAGCCAGCGGGGATCGAACCCGTATTAGTCGCATACTATACGTCGTAACGTAAGGCATCGGTATGGTACATTTTTTACAAATTTCACTATACCGGTTTGATGTAATATTGTATAGATGTAATAAAGTACCGTAAATATGAGAGGCCGTAAAAGCAGGCTTGTAAAACGAAACGAATTAAACTTTTACTTTGCACTGCAATAGGAGTCACAGACAAGGTTTGCTACATCTTGAAGCGAGCTTCCATAACTATATACTTCAAGCCGCCGAATAAGATTAGCGAATTTTTACCATCCGTCAAGTGTCTTATCTCTCTACAAGATGCAGTAGTGTACAAGCTGGATTGTGAATGTGGTCTCTCTTACATAGGACAAACAAAAAGATCTATAAAAACCCGCGTGAAAGAACATATAGCTGACTTGAAGCACCGACGTTCCAGGAAGTCAACAGTGTGTGAACATGTTCTGGATCGTCCCCACCATTACATTAGATTTGATAAATCACAAATCCTCGCAAAAGAACACCATTCAAGTTATCATTCTGTGCATAATAAAAATGTTTCACGTTCGTACGCTTTATATCATACTGTTGCAAATTGTAATATTTGAAAAAAGTGATACTGGCTGGCAATCAATTTGATATATTATTTTTTATTTTACAACAATGAAAACAAAATATTTTAATTTCACTCTACTAAGAATTACATAATTGAGTTGTAGATGCATACTTGACTTGAAGATCACACAAAAACTGTTGCTTGCGAAAATCGCACCCGCGACGGTAAGTGCCCCAGTCAAACGTTTAGTCAGCTGCCGAGCTATCATATTATTAACCTACAATATAATATAAAAAGTTGGACGTATCTAATCAAATAATGCATAAAGTTCAAATACTACTGTTGAAGACTATTTTGTTTAGAAAAATTCAAATTTAAAAATTACTAAATTGCATTATATGAAATCGAATAAATACCTATTTAAATATATGTAAATAACACAACAGCATAAGGCCAATTCCGTAAGAAATACTACAGGAGATCCCAATTTCGATCTCTGAAATACATCAGGAAGGCGTTAATTGTTAAAAATAGAAAATGTGTGAGAACGGATGTTCAACTCGCTCTCTTGTTTACGCAATTAATCACTATGAGCAATAAAACAGCGTAACGCAATATATATTCAGTATAGAGCAATAACAGTTTGAAAACATCGTAACAAGTTACCGCAACAACCACCAAATTATGCAAACTAACAGCAACACCACCCATCTCAATGTAACAGCAACAGCAACACCATCCTACGAACAGAACCACGACACTATCTTAGCACTTGTAGAATGACTTCACAACTAGAATGACGTAAGCGGAACCTTCCGCGCTTGGCACCTACAATGAACTTTGTACTGCACTAACGAGTGGTGGTTTCTCGATAGAGGAGTACCCTCAATTCTACCCCGCCGCTATCGATAAACGCTTCGCTAGAGGGACGCAAACTCTCGCACACTCGATCTATCCGGCTCTTCATATACACACCGTCATATATTGAAAACGGAGGTCGAAAACTGGGTATTCAAAATAAATGATAATATGTATAATATGATTGAAACCAGATTGTATTTAGAGGATTTTAGCTTAAATCAATTAAAAGATTTTGTGTCAGTCATCAACGTTTGGAATACTTTTCAACTTATGATTTTTCATTTATAAACGATTAAAAAGTCTTGATTTGCACGAGCGCTTTATGCTGAAATTGACTTAAATGTGAGATTTTTATAAAGCATTCACAAAGAAATATTTTTGGCCTTATTAAGTATTTTTTATAGGATAAGGGTCACAAACGAGCATACAGTCTACCTGATGGTAAGTGGTTGCTGCGGCC